CACCGCTTTTGCATGATCAAAGTGCAGAAACTTCCCGTATGAGTCACATTTTATCATCGATACGAGCATTCCGCGCAAAGTGAATGGTAACCGTAGCCGTTACGAAATCTGTGCCAAGTTGTACCGTTGATCTAAACATATCTCTATACATTCGCAGAAAGAAAACAGTTCACGAAAACAGTAATATAAAACGCTTTTGTTGCAGTACTCTCTCTGTTTAAGGTTTCTAAAAAGGATTTCAGGATTTCTTTTACACCGCGTATAACTGTGCGTGAAGTCTGACGTACGTCGGAATATTATATTTTTTACAGTGACTTATATTGTCGCTTTCGAGAGCGGATCGTTCTTCGGGTTGAAAATTAATTCACCGGTATGCTATGTAAATTTATCCCAAGATATCGTTTACATTTAAATTCGATTTAGAAGCAACGAATTACTTCGGATAAACTCAAAGCCGATGCCTTGTTTTCCGAAACACAGAAGAGGGAAGTTTCGTCGAATATAACTTGGCGAGTTGGGAAAGCGTTGCCAACAAATTTCAAAATCTATCAGCTTAGAAAGCATGTATACGTAACTTTTACATCCTCAGAAACGTACGTACACATACCGTGTCTCTCACGCTGAAAAGATCAATATTTTTTAACGTTTTAAACACCTTTGCACAGTTATAATTCTCGTCAAATCTTCATTAAAGAAAAGTCAAATCTATATTCGACGGGAATATTGTTACTTTTTATTCATTACTCCGTGATAATAAAATATATATAACTCTATGTATAACATGTCAAATAATTACGTAATTTAAAATAATTATTCGATCAAATAACCGTAAGCTGATAAATTAATCGTTTAATTTTTAATTTCGTTTAAGTGAATAAAGATTATCGATAATGTCATAATGAATTTTACGAGGAAACAAACCGAACATGCGCCCGAGCAAAATGAACGTGGCGGAACATTGGTTAATTATATTCAATAATTTTATTTCTCCGATTTCTTCGGTATCTCTAAAGATAATCCCGTCGAAGCTATAACGTTTGGCAGTTCGATTATGTCTTATTGACGCGGCTTGGCGTGCGGCGCGGCGAAATTGGGTCATCGTACGAAATTGCTACCACCTAAAACGAAATTATTCCGCGAAATTTCCCGACGCTGGATGCGGTCTATTTGCGCGATATTAAGAACGCCATTAACGGCTGGTTCCAGTCGAGGAGGATAGTACCGTCGGTGCTATTATACTAATGTTTAGACAATTGAATAATCAATTCGCCTTTCTATACCGCAAAACGTTTGCTAACTTCCCCAAATTAGATAATTGCTCTAAAGATTATATGACATTACGATTCAAATTATCCTACATTAATATATACATGTATACACAGGGTGTACTAAAACCACCGGATATCCTTTTAATCATAGATTCTTTAGAAACTTTCAAGACAAAAATTCTAATACAAAAATGTCGAGGCTATAATAGTTTTTAAATAATAAGCGATTACATTTCACAAATGACAGGCCTGAGATTTCGCGCGCTCAGGTACGGCGACACGACAAGTGATAAAGGCGTTCCTGCGAATATCGCCCTTTTTAGCATAGCGACAGCTTTCACAACAGACTTAACGATTCATTCTCGAATTAATTGTTCCTCTTGTTATCTTTAACCATTTCTTTTGTTAGCTTTGTGTAACGTCTTATTAATAAAAGGCAGGGGTTCACTATGATGAGCATCTTGATCAGACTGATATCCTTCGATTTAGTCGATCTCCGATATTCTGAGTGAACTAGGGATTTTCAGTTAGATTCAATCTAGTCTCCTGCCTCTCTTTATCCTCAAGTTTTCAAAATAACCGGATCGTCGTCTTCCCAATTATTTTCTGTCCCGTTAAACGGTGACTTTGGTTCTCGCTCGCTCGCGAAACACATAGGAACACTTTTATCACCCGTCATGTCGCCGTGCCTGAGCGCGCGAAATCTCAGACCTGTCATTTGTGAAATATAATCGCTTATTATTAAAAAACTATCATAGCCTCGACATTTTTTTATTAGAATTTTCCTCTCGAAATTTTCTAAGGAATCTGCGATTAAAAAGATATCCGGTGGTTTTAGTACACCCTGTATACGTACATTTTTCCTGTAATCTATCGTTGAGATTATTACAGCCTTGAAAAAGTTTCACCAATGCGATATGCGATACGATTGAATTAGTGACGCAACGAGGACTGGGAATACTTTTTTAATATAATTGGCCTCGTCTTATATTTGACTCTACTAATATGCTAAAATCCCTCAACCTTATTATATCATAAAGACCATTATAACTGTAAGCTCGAGTTCATTCGTCACTGACGCCGGTAATAAATCACCGCTTGGCGGATGATACGTTCGGATATTATGGAAATAAAGACGATCTTATATTCTATACAAAAATCAGACAGCAAAATTTATCACGGTCGCTGTTTCTTCGGAAACTGATGCGCTTTACGTCCGTCCGGCAAGTCTGTTTCCGCAATGTGACACAAATACATATTTATTGCGTGCGCAAAACGCGCACGTAGCCCGTAAACCTTCGAGATTTATTCAACTTTATTCTGCTCCTCTCGTTCCATTACCCGTGATCGATCCTCCGCGGGATATACGTGCACCGCGCCTGGCTTGACCGTTCGCGAACGCCTTTCTTCTGTCCATTTTTATATAAAACATATACTTATGGATTTTCTCGTGGTCACGTACTGCCATTACACATTTGCCATTAAGCTGTTTTAATCGCTCGGAATAATCTCACGTGTACAATAGACGCGAATCAATTACGTGGCGTCAATTATGTCAATTATGAGTTATAATTTTTATAATATCCTCACGATTTTCAATCCTTCGACCACCGACCTTACCTTACATCATTTTCATCGAATAAATTTCACGTGATATCATTTGAGATATTTTTTACACGTGAAATTTCGTAAAAATATCAAGGGAGCATTGTACAATTTCAATTCCTGTTCAATAACTTGCGCCATTCGTCATTATGACAAATTTTCTTTGTACTCTCCACCCGTCTGCACCGCGCAATGCACATGGACGGTTGACCAGCGTTTCTTACAAATGTTTCCAATGTCATGGCACCTGATGTTAGTAACGCGCGCACGGGAATATGTGCGACAAGATTTATACCCAGGATATCTTAAAAGAACGCATGCCCACACGCATCAGACGCAATCGTCCAACAACGATAAAAGTACGCAGGCACAAACATATGTTTTCCGAACATTAAAACGTCATTTATTAGAATTGATTTCGTACGAACCGAAATAAGAGCATCCGACATTTGAAAAAATGGCTTGTTTTATTTCGGTCGAATTAAATAAATTAAAAAGTAAATCAATTTCCGAATTGACCGACGTTCCTAACAAAGGTTTAAACGAGGTTAAAACATTTAGCTCATTGAATGCAGACGTTTTATAACATAGATAAGTATAGTGAATGCATCTATAAAATATGTAATAAATAATGAAACAGCAAAGCGTCGAATAATCAACTTTTAGAATTAGAATACTCGAGTGTGAAATTTGTATAAAATATGTACAAGATGTAAGAGAAAAAGCTCACCTTTCCAGAGAAAGGTTTGCGAGTTTAAAAGTTAAATAAAATAAGTAGAAAATAAAGATAGACAGGCAGGTAAATAAACAAGTCCGAGTTAGAATAATGCAGCACGCGAACAAAGGCCTGGTCTAATGTTATCTGAGAAAATAACAGCGCGTTGACTTTAGATGGACTGCGGATTCGCAGTGTATAGTCACCGCGGAAATCGGAGATTATCTATACTCGACACAGATATTATTATCGCCGATCCTGCGCCGTAATAAGCACGACAATTTGCGCAACATAAGCGCCATTGTAACCGCATACGGCGTGTACGTTACCTGTGTATGTATACTCGATGTACACACCTTACGTTGCAAAATGATATTAATCGCGAAGGTTTGCCGCGAGCAACCCCTTCGTACTTGGATCGGTTGTCGTACGATTCTCGACGACGAGATCTCAGAACCCCGTTGCGGGGGGGGGGCCGGTGAAGGGGGCGGGGGAGTTACGTATGTAAAAAAAATCCTTTTGAAAAAAAACAGCCGAGTGACAACAGGAAGTGGGACACTTTGTAGTCGGTGCAGTGGGTGAGAAATAGTAAGTGAGACGTATCCAGCAAGTGAACGAGTGGCGGTGCATACTTACGTCCCGTTAAAGGGTGCATCAGAGCGGGGTGCGAGGTGGCTGCTGCAGCGGCTGGTTGCTTGGGTTTGCTAACCTTTGTGTTACTTTTTGCAAATTCCAAACGTATGGTTTGTGGCATATCAGGATCGAATCTAACCCCCTGCTGCAAATAGATTCCCTAAATTAGTAAATCGGGAGCACACGTGGATGGATGGTGGTAGTGTAGTAAGGCAGAGATGAGAGAAAGAACAAAAAATGAGAGAAGAGAGAAAGAGAGAGAGAGAGAGCGATAGTGGAAGGTGGATAGCTCCTCTTTCGTCACTAGCGTGCTAATGTTCCGTCAGAAAGAAAATTACGCTCTTAGTCGATTTTGCGTGTTCTTTTTAGGCATATGGTGTTTCTTTTTACAACTTCTTAAAAGTGATCCTTTGGTTGAAAGGCAACGAGTTGTAAGTTATCTTTTAAAGATGAAACAGTTTTACGTACTGTACATTTATTTTGGAACGAAAATTAACATGTTCATGGGATAAAAAGTATTTGTCGTTTTATGTACCAAATATTTATATAATATATATTTATACGACATGTGCAAGAAATTGTTTCCTCGATCAATGTAATTCTCATACAAATCCCTGTAGTTTTATTCATGTTAACACAATAATAATGTCTGCAGAAATATTGATAGATCACTATCCACTCTAATGACGTCAATCACGTTTCTTGCAGCGAGTTATTTTCCTTCAATGTATTTCACTGACACGGTTCATTTTGTATCATAAATTTCACACGAAAGTAAGCCAGATTGATGTTTTACAAAAACATGAACATATTAATCGATACTACATAAATCGTTGTCGCTCGGATATTTAGTCAAAATGATATTCGCCCCTCTTTATTTTGAAACTGACTGCAAAATTGTAGAAGCATTTAAATATCATTTTCTCGATATGTGGCATAATAATGTTAAACATTACGTTAATTACATATCCAATTATTAAATCCGGGCAGTTAAGTGTAAGAAAATATATCCGTAACGTTCCGCGATCTACATAAATGTTTCAAATAATTCGCCGAGGTTGTACCTCAGTTTATCAAAATTATTTATTTTATCGCTGCAAATATTTCCGTTGTATCAACCACCCCCCCCCCCCGTATCTTTTATCACGAATTATCACAAAACTCGATTATTTGAAAAGATTCTAAGAATGGTGCGAATTTTTGTCGCGCGTGTAAAAGGTTTTCCCGCCGGTCATTAAAGAATAGAAAAACATCGGGAGGCTTGGTAGCTATTCCGCGTGCGGCGTTCAAACTCCGATCGGACTACGGCGTATATGTTTTGCGCGTGCGAAATCAAACCGACAGAGCCGATCGAATCACAGGTGGCTAGCGACGAAAGTGATGTAGGTATAATAATAACATGGGATTACGCCAGGTAGAAGGGAAATTAGCACAAGGGCGTGTAGACATGTATTCATGTATGTATGGGTGTGTGTGTGTGTGTGTGTGTGTTTCTCTCCTTGTACGCGTGTTCATAAGGTGGGCTCGTTAGTCCGTTCTAGGGTGTTTCCAGCGAACGTGTCCATCCGACAAAAGGATGTTTCTCTACGCGGTACGTACGTACGTATACCGTTGCCGTACTTGGGTTATATAACATTGCAGATTGCGTGAGGTCAGTTGCAACGGTATGGTAGAGCTATACGGGGTGACCAACTTAACCAGAAAACTCGATCTGATTGCTGTCGTGCAACGAAAGCTGCAAAGCTATTCCGCGCCCGAATTGTATATAGACATACGCCGTGGTATGTCGCGTGACGTTACGAAAAAGTTTTTAAATCAACGTTGATCACCCCGCAGGTATATGTATTTACAGATACATATATATATGCGTTACATATAAATATATTCATACTCGAGATCAATACGTGTATTCACAGAGTTGCCGTGCACAGAAGGAAATTATTTCCCCGACGGAGTTAAATGCAACGTTGTTTGTGGTAAAGCTGTCGGAAATTTTGCAAGTTTTACAATCTTTAAACTCTGGCGAATAGTGTGCCGAGCGTCTGAAATTCTGATCCAAAGATTGGACGCCACAAATATTATGGCATCCTGAATTTATAATATTCTTCTTGTAAACTCGAACAAGATGATGTACAAGCGAGATCGGTTCGTCTGCCTCTTCTCTTGCCATACTCCACAGCGCAGAGATAATTCCTCTCGCAGCGTCGAGCGAATTTTTTGAAATGCATTCAAATATATGTATATGCAACGGGATGATACTTGTCGGAAGGCAAACAACACCATATATAGATATATCAATAATGCCACACGGTGCAGCGTTATTACAATACGCCTTGGTACGTATACAGGTAGACAAAAGGTAGTACTACGTTTGGTCCCAATGAGAGAAAGAGAGAAAAGATAGAGAGAGAAGAAGCTACGGTAGAGAGAAATGAGTAGTCAGATAGAGAGGTCTCGTGGATGTAGTAACTAATGGAGGTAAGAGCTAGAGGTAGCATTAACCCGTGCCAGCTGGAGAATCTAAGGCAGGGTGGAGTCGTAAAGAGAAGTAAAAAAAAAAATACTGCCGGGCAAATCTGTACGAGTGAGTGTCACTGTGTATGTATACTAGATCAACCCGCGCGTCAACCCTGAGACCCTTGGGAGAGGGTCCACCACCTTCTCCGCGACTTTTCCTTGCCTCGCGACACGCCTGCGAGAAAAGGGCTATTACCTGCAGATCCTGCTTCGCCGCCTCCGCGCCTGCCCTCGTGTGAAAAGTCACGAATCCCACCGGCTGAAATGAGAAAGAAGAATACAAGAAGCGCCTCGTTCGTCGCACCCGCGATTAAGCACCTGTCTCTCTCTCTCCCCCCCCCTTCCTTCCCCTTGACGGAGCATTCATTCATTACGCGGGCGTCTCATCGCCGCCATTAGTTTGCCGGCGAACGAGCTTAGAATTGCCAACGTGTCCCTGCCATTCGTATCATTGTTCTCGTCTGGTGACGTTTGTCGTTCATAATAAGTACAAGATCGGTGTAATTGAAATAAAAGCGTTGAAACAACGTCAGTATTAATAAATGAAAAACATCAGATTGGTGTCTTAATAATCTGGATATCTAGTTCAATGCTTAAAATTAAAATCCATAGCAAACACAATTGAGTGAATTACTTATGTTTGCGGCAGCACGTGACGTTAACGTTTACTTGAAGCAACTTCATTTTGCTTAATTCAACAGCATTGCTTTTCCGTGTACATAAACTTTTTGGATAAAAGTCTAAACCTAATATCGCTAATGTTATCATGAAATTATTTTATATCTTAAAAGTAGAAATATACAAATAACAATATCGTTCAATAATCTCTTCCTTACAGAATGCTGTTAGTAATTATAGACATGCAAATCAATTAAAAAACAAATTACTCGTTAGTTACCAAAATTTTTACTTCAATTAAATTGTTAAAAAATTAATTACTCGTATCTACTCGTCCATTTGACTGTCTTGTACCATAACAATAAGTGCAAAGGATGCAAAACGATATACTATCGTCGGTACAGCATTGCAGTTATTATAAGAAATACCTTGCTGACCAAGATTATCGGAGTCATTGTCGCGCTCCCTTTCTCTCTCCCTCGTGCTCGCATCCCTCAATATACAGGGTGAGTCTTTCCATATCCGACAAAATTTTTGAGAAGGTAGAACGGATCGAGATGAACGGAAAAGTCCTGTACCATTTTGCAATTTTCGTAATAGTTAACGAGTAATTAATTCTTAAAAATCATTGTTTTAGGCCGGCCTACCGCCCAATTCGAGCGCGTGGCGAGATGTGCGCATAGCAATATCGATCGCCGGGCGGTCACATCTTGCCACGCGCTCGAATTGGGCGGTAGGCCGGCCTAAGACAACGATTTTTAATAATTAATTACTCGTTAACT